TATTTACACCAAAAACAGTTATAATCTTTACTTACTAAAAGGAACAACTCTCAGGGAAGATACTAAAAATCTAACCCAGGCGAAAAAGATACATCATAAAAATAAAAATTGTAATTGAAGCTGACAAACCTATTTACCTTGTTGGAGATTTTAACATATTGATATTAAAATGGTAAATCAAGTTAGCAGACATAAGAGCCAGGGAGATGGCTCAGTAGAATAATTGCTTCCCTTGCAGGGACAAGGGACTGAGTTCAATCCTTAGTTCTACCAAAAAAAAGTTAGCAGACATAGGGCTAGGGAGATAGGTCAATGGAATAAGCGCTTTCCTGGCAAGCGCAAGAGCCTGAGTTCAATCCCTGGTTCTGCCAAAAAAATAAGTTAGCAGACATAAATCAAAAAGTTCAAAGCACTAAACAAAATAATGAAGTATGGTTTAATTGGTATATTTTTATCCCACGATTAAGAGTATGTACTTTTCTTCCTAATAACAGGAGATCTGACTATTGATAGGTTATGAATAAGGACTGGATTGCTAAAGGGGTAATACATAATCACTTCCTAATGATGTGTTAAGGTAGAATTCAATATCAAATTAATAACTATGTAGTCCTATATATTTGGGAAACAAGAATTGTCACTGGAACATATTTTGTGTGTTTATTTTATATTTAGGAAGTAACAGTCTTTTGAATTGGTACCTATCTAATTAGTTGTAGCGTATTTTGACATCAAGGACTCAGAAGACAAACCTGCTTGATCACAATGTATTTCTCTTGGACTTTCAAGAGGCCTTGATTCATTCTGCTGCTGTCTTTTGATGTCTAGTTAAGACAGATGGCAGCACATGATGGTGGGAGTGTGTGTCAGAGTTACATCTCGAACTGGAGCAGAGAGAGAATGAGTCCAACAGTTCCTTTCAAGGGTGCATTGCACCCCAGTGACATTAAAGTTCCCACCTCTTAAAGGTCTATAACATCCCAGTGCCACCATTCTGGGCACCAAGACTTTATGTATGGACGATTGGGGGAAGAGCCAAACCATAGCGTGAATATCAAATTGCAGGTGATAGGTACAGAAAAGTGATGCTATCACTCTGGATATGCCAGAGAACAATGTACTTTGCTGAAAGTTCTTAATTTAAGAAGAAAAGAATCTCATGGCAGTTGCTAAAATCTGTGGTAACAACAAATCTGTCCATGTGGTTGTGAAGCAGGGAAAAGAATCCCATGCAAGGTTTGCTCTCCTACCACAAACTAAAAATTACAGCTTCAGTATGTGATAAGTACTTGCTTAGTTAAGATAGAAAAGGCATGGGCTGGGGGCTGGAGAGATGGCTCAGTGGTCTAAAGCGCCTACTTAGAACAAGCTTAGCAAAAGCATCAGGGACCACGGTTCAATCCCCCAGCACCACATGCCAGCCAGCCC